GGGGGACATAGAGTGTTACCCATGTTTGTCCTATCCCATTACATTTTTTTCCCAAATCAGTGTCATAACTCAAGCAACCAACTTCACTTCTTAACAGATTTTCATCAATGTTTATTCAAAAGTCAAATATCAGAATACTTGGGATGAATTCATATTTCAAGGTCCCAAGGTCAATGCCAAGGCCACAGGGCTTGAGTGACTGGGGCATTGAAGTTGACCTGTCAAAGATGTGTGGCAGATTTTAACTGTACATAGGATTATACATGGTCGCCTCCCAGCTTCAGGCTAGAGGGAATTTCCCTTTATCTCAGTGATAGAGACCAGGAAGTCAGGGATTGCCGGTTCCATCCCTGGTGGAAGCAGGTACTTTATTTCTGTTACAGATGTATTTTATAAAGTAAAGCTAATCGAAATTGCTCTGATAAATTCTGCTTAATGTTTATATTTGTGTTTTGCTGTAGTTCGTAGCATGATAAACAATGACATTGATGTATCTTTCTTCCGTTAATTTATTGTCATGAAGGAACTTTGTTTTCCATTCAAAAGCAGTTAACCCTAAACAATGTTATCTGTGATAAAAATATCAATAGAATCCAAGATTACAAAGTTTTAATTATCTCAAACAGGCATTATTATTTGTTCATAAAATAATGTAAGCAGTAAAATAAACAGGAAACAAGACTTGTTCAAATAACTTCTGTATTGATATAAATCTAAGGAATAGACACTGTTAGAGTTGTCTCCCTTCCAACACACTCTCACTGAAGATCTCAGAAAAAAACTAGTTTCAGTTTCACTTGTTTTGATTTTCAGAAAAATCAATTTAGCTATTTTATTCAGCTCTGTATGCTTGGAGTAATTTACAGAAATTTCATATCTGATATGATGTTTTGAGAGACAACAAATATTTTATGGTTTATGTCTATGTTCTGAGGATTAGGCGGGATCTGTTATAGTATACGTTGTGCTGGGTGAGGAAAATTTGTGTATAGTTTTGGATTAAAAAAGGATTCTCTTGTATCGTTGTTCTAAAGCTCTTAGTTTACAAGGATTATACAAAACGGTCGTTCAGGTAAGGTGTACATAGTTGAATGTAACCTAAAATGGGAGGTGTTTTGTTCACATCACAAATTAGCAATACCACATGAATTTTTTGGTAGATTTTTTTTTTTTTTTATTGATTTAAACATATTTTGTTGGATAGTAGATTGTATAAAAGTTCATGCCTATTTATTTCATCTCCTTTGATGAAGAGATCATTTTTTTTCTTAAAATTACTGCATGTTGTTTTATTGATATAGTAATATTGATTTTTTCTATTTTAGATAATCCAAATATAACAAAATGGATATTTTTGAAGATTTATCTTTTTAAAAACAACGTATTGTTGGAAAAAAATTGGAATTGATGTATCAGAAATATTTAATGCATTTCAACATTTCAGAATATGTTGTATCCCATTTCTGGTACTCAGGGAAGCAGGAAATCAGTGGCTATACAAGACTGCCTGTTCTTTGTTCCTAATGTTTTTTTACAATGTTAAGTTTACTGTAAGAAGTAGTACATTTTGTATGTTAAGTTGTAGTTGATCATTCTTGTCATAACAGGACAATTATAGCTATTGAAACTCAGTAAATACCACAGTTACAATCATTACGTGTACAGTACACATACACAAAGGGAACTCGAGCAGGACATTTGTTATTATATTAGCAGTAATACTCGTTACTTTTCTCAGGGATACCAACATTTAAGGACCCCTGTCCCACTGCACTGTAGTTTTTTTGTATAATAATAAACAGTAACCTACTCTTAAGTTTGTTTTAGATATAACTAGCAGAGTCGGGCCAGGACACTTACGCTGATCAGGTAGCTCAGTCGGTTAGGGTGATACATGTAGTTTAACTAACTGAAGTCCAAGGTTCAGAGCAGGTGGTCTAGCTATGCGTAATTTAAACACTCTGAACACTTTGATTATATATAAAAAAAAATCCATAAAAGTCCCAAAAGGTATGGTTTTCTATTCAGAAATCATTTACAAAGCATTAAACAAGCATGAAAAACAGTTTCCAATGAAAAGTTACAGTTCTTGGCAACGGAACAGGAATCCTTAAAAGGAAATAAAAGACCACATACCTTTGTATCAATAAACAAGGCACGTCTGTGACTATAGACTTGGTATGGTAGCTCCGGCTATGTTTGCACCTCAACCACAATATAAATCTGGCTCTACTGAACACTTACACCCTATTATAACACCCCGAATGATGAAACTGAAAATAAGTTATCTTTAGTCTGGAAAGACCCATCTATTTTAAGCTTTCTTGATTCCCATGTTATGTAATTGTTGGAAAGTTCCATTTATTTTTAGAAGTGACTTTACAGAAAATATGGTATAGGTCAAGTAAGTATTTATAGGGCTGACGTTTGATAAAATATCCATTATATAATCAGTAGTACTTCAGTCAAGATATATTTTCTTTTAAAATATGGAAAATGTGAAACATGAAAATTGATTGCTGAATTGATAAAGCGCTTGGGCCTTATACATTATACTTTTGATGTGCATTTTTACGATTCGTCATTTTTAGTCACCCCTGGGGGAACCCCAGTGGGGACTATAATTTCAGTTTCAGTCCCAGATTTTGCCCTCTGTTGTCTTGGGCTGTTAAGTGTCTTGCTTCTGTCGTTATATACCAGGCGCTAATTACAAGCTCTTGGATAACTCAGATATTGATTTCCTTGGGGCATAACATTTCCCGTGGGAATTACATATAACCTAAAGATGTTCCGAGTATGAATCAGGCACCTTTGAGGTTCCCGAAGGGGTAAACTGTCGTATTATAAATTGCTATTGACTGATTTAGATATTTTATGTCTGACCCACGACTACCGTCAATATTTGCGTATATTGCACACTCTTTTAAGGGGAAAATGAAGTGTCAAGAAAAGTGTGTACACGTCATTTTTAGTCACCCCTGGGGGAACCCCAGTGGGGACTATAATTTCAGTTTCAGTCCCAGATTTTGACCTCTGTTGTCTTGGGCTGTTAAGTGTCTTGCTTCTGTCGTTATATACCAGGCGCTAATTACAAGCTCTTGGATAACTCAGATATTGATTTCCTTGGGGCATAACATTTCCCGTGGGAATTACATATAACCTAAAGATGTTCCGAGTATGAATCAGGCACCTTTGAGGTTCCCGAAGGGGTAAACTGTCGTATTATAAATTGCTATTGACTGATTTAGATATTTTATGTCTGACCCACGACTACCGTCAATATTTGCGTATATTGCACACTCTTTTAAGGGGAAAATGAAGTGTCAAGAAAGGTGTGTACACGATACTCAAGAACAATCCAAAACCAGTCCTTGGTCGCGACCATTTCTTGTAAATTTTTCAAGGATTTTTCGGAAATTTTTGAAATATGCTCGTAGCAATAAAACTGCTAAATTTTGTTAAATAATCCCTGATTGCATTGCCATTTTAACAATTACGAAAAGTTGAAAGTGTAGGTCATATAATACTATAGAATCGGATAAATAAACTTTTCAGGACGTTACGTTGTGAATTGATAAATACCACGTATCTGGAAACATAACGAAGAATTGCATCGCATTTATCACTCTATGGTTAAAATGTCGTTCTTGGGTAAAATCATGCTGAACTCTTCAATCTTGACCATAGGAATGTGGCGAAATGACATGGGTAAAGTGGCGAAATTAGCAAGTCTGTGTACCGCAAAGAGTCGAGGTTGCGCGATACTATTAACTGACAGGAATTTGCAAGGTGACATCCTTGTGAATTGAACTGATAATGATAAAAGTTTGAGTTTGAAAATTAAATATCAATAGGTTCAAAACAGCCAAATACATTCCGATCTTTTCTTTTTGAAGGAGAATTGCTGAAATCACAATTTTTTGGTGTTCTTCATGTCTCGCGGGAGTGACTGCCTTTAAGCGTACACATTCTGCCGATATCGATGACCGATTCAGTCGGATTTGCAGACGATCAGAAAACTACTTGGAAAAGTGTATTTCATAACAAAAAATAGTAGAAGATTTATCCGTATATAAGATTGAATCTTTTCTGTAACTTATTGTTGTGAAAACAACATCGTTATATTCCAATTACCTGTTCTGCCCATGCCAGGTGACCGTGTCAGCGCAGAGATAGAGGTGTCGGTCAACGCTAACGTTATATTTGCGACATGCTTTCTTATTAATTCCATGTGTTAGCATGGCTACCTGAACAGCATGTATGTATTTACACCTGGTCATTGTTTACCATTTTGATTGACAGGTGGAAATATATCCGTTGTTGCTTGGTCAATGATTATCGGAAAATGATCATACAGAATGATGGGGTGACTTTCATGTCATTCTGACATATTTCTAGTTTGGGGGCTAGATTGTGTTATCGACGTCCATCCCGTCATGTCCCGTCGTGTTATCTACGTCCATCCTGTCCTGTCCCGTCGTGTTATTGACGTCCATCCTGTCCTGTCCCGTCCTGTTATCTGCGTCCATCCTGTCCTGTCCCGTCGTGTTATCTACGTCCATCCCGTCCTGTCCCGTCATGTTATCTACGTCCATCCCGTCCTGTCATGTCATGTTATCTACGTCCATCCCATCCTGTCCCGTCGTGTTATCTACGTCCATCCCGTCCTGTCCCATCTTGTTATCTACCTCCATCCTGTCCTGTCCCGTCGGGTTATCTACGTCCATCCCGTCCTGTCCCGTCGGGTTATCTACGTCCATCCTGTCCTGTCCCGTCGTGTTATCTACGTCCATTCTGTCCTGTCCCGTCGTGTTATCTACGTCCATCCCGTCCTGTCCAGTCGGGTTATCTACGTCCATCCTGTCCTGTCCCGTCGTGTTATCTTCGTCCATCCTGTCCTGTCCCGTCGTGTTATCTCTGTCTATCCCGTCCTGTCCCGTCGTGTTATCTACGTCCATCCCGTCCTGTCCCGTCGCATCACATCAATTGCGTCTTGATTCAGCATTCACTCTAGTGACTTCATTTCTTAACAGATTTTGATAAAACTTATTTCGAAGGTCAAGTTTGCGAAAGTTTAGAAGGATTTTGTATTTCAGAATCTTAAGGCCAATGCCACAATTACTGTTTACAGAAATTTGTCAAAAAAATAACACAAATTATCTCCTCAGAAAAATTTAGCTTTTTAACTGCCAGTTAGTGTTGTTCCGATTAATTGATTTAGTTGAAGTCTGGTTGTTTGTTTATGAAAATGGATTAATCAATCCTTGTTTTCCATGATCGATTATAGTTTGACTAATTTAAGTATTAGCAAAAAATAAACTTGGATACTGTTATTACCGCTGACACGAGTTGTTCCTTCTTGGGTAAAACAACTTGACCGAACGTCTCGCACAACGACGACACTGATTCGCTAGCCATAGAAATGCTGCATAGCTCAGTCAGTGCGTGACAATATAGCAAACCAGGACATTCCAGAGATTAAACTCTATGATCATCCGGGGGCTACTGATTTAAACGTTTGGAAGGAATTGTTTGTCCTTAGCTCGATATAGAAAAAACGCTTTGTGAAAAGTGTGGGCTATCTTACAAATAAAATGTTAAGTTTGACGGGGTGTCATCAGGTGAATACCAAACCATCGCAGCATTTCTGAATACGAGATGCAGCTGTCACAGCATAATTGACATTGCAAACATCATCAATTTCATTTCCAAATACATATTTTTTCAATAATTATAAGGTTCTGTCAACAAACTTATTGTTTTTTGTATGAATGTTGTGTGTTATTAGCGAAATTCTCTAACGTCGGGGTTTCCCCGTTAACAAAAGTGAAAGTTGATTTCGGAAAGCGAATATAACCTTAAATTACTGAATTTTTATTTAAGTTCAGTTTGATCGATCATTAGTCGATCCTCAGTCACTGGATTGGAAGTGATGATCGAGTATGAATTTACAAGCGATTCCCAACACTTCTGCCAGTACATGTAGCGGAACTGGACTGGGTCAATCAATGGTGACCAGGTAGCTCAACTGGTAGAGCATCTGTCTAGAGTTGTGAGGTCCCAGGTTTTAATCTGTGTCTAGCCCTGGTCTTCTGTTCCCTGAAGCCATGACCAATCCTTGTTTCAAGTACTGGTGGCAAAGGGATACCAAAACCAGCATGGGTTGAAAATAGTGTTATATTTGGGGACAAAGACTTGAAAAAAGGAGGGAGCGGAACTGGACTGGGTTGATCACTGGAGACCAGGTAGCTCAATTGGTAGAGCATCTGTCTATAATGAGGAGGTCCTTGGTTCGAATCCCTGTCTGGCTGTGCCGTCATCCTGATTGTTATCACTCTAGTGGACAGGTTTCAGGACACATGATACATTTTTATCTAGCTTCACACATACTGTTGGGCATACCCGTTAACATATTAGAGTAACTCATTATCTGTCCTATGTCAACATGACTGTTACTATAGATAACATTTCTGAAAAATGGCCTGATAGTTTTATCGGTATGTGTATGCAAAAGGAAAATATCACTTATGATGCCTTGTTTACTCTTTATTTCAGTGAATACCCCACATAGAAGTAATGCACATACTTCATTGTTGCTAATTTGTAATCAAATCTGATAATTTGAATGGAAAAGGGTTTATTTTCATTCGAGTCCTGTTTGTAAATATTAGCTGCAGGTGAAAGATTTTGTCTTTTTGTGAATTACAAATTCTTAAACAGTTCATAAAGCTTGATGAGTATATAAATATAGATAGGTCTGTGTTAGCGTAGACATGTCAGAGGAATATCTGTGTCAGTTTTGGGACCATCACGTCCTGTACTGTCACACATGACTTTACCAGTTTTCCACGCCTCCCGAACTGGTATAAGGTCACTTGGTACAGTGTAATGATGATACAGGTTACCATTGGCTGTGGGGGTCAAGGTCATGGTGTCCTTGACCTCTGACTTGACTCTGAAATATTTCAATATCACAATATCAGGTGTTAGAGACTCGGTGCAGTTGTTGAGATGCACCTGTGCATTGTTGTGTATATCTCCCAAAGGCTGTTGACGATTTGGTGGTACGTAGGTAAACTTTAATGATACGGTTGTAATATTTGAGGTTGTGGAAAATATCTGTGAACAGTTGTGTGTTGGTATCGTGTGGAAGGTCGACGAGTCCTGTTTGTAACATGACATTGTCCCTACCACAGGTCTGGAATGACTCCTCACCCATAGATAGACATTGGGTGGTGCTGTGAACATACAGCTCAGTACAACCCCTGTCGAAGGATTGGACGGACCTGTTATTTCCTGTAGACCTACAAGTCGCATCCACTGATTATCGGCCATGTTGGGTATCTGTGGGTTTGTGGTGTTGAACCTCATGAATATACTGACTCCCTGTAGATACTTTTCAGACTCCTCTCCTGATAAACCGTCACTGTCAAACTCAATCTGGGTCTTTTGGAAGTTTGTGGTCAGATAGAACACGGTGGCACTAAGTCCAAGTATTGTCAGAAGAACAACACTTGTAAAGATGCTCAAGTTTTTTCTGATTTTGCCTGTTTCTATCCCACCTTGTCTTCTTTTTAAGAAGTATTTGATCCAGATAAAAGCCAGCTTGACAACAACTTCAAACATGGCAGCCGATGCCTTGACAATTTGAATGGTGTTGGTTGCCTCCTCTCTGCACATAGCAATGTGGACGTTTATAGCAATTTGGGGTAGGTCCTCGATCAGTAATGTGGAGAAAGTTAGAAACTCACTTATCATTTCCACGGTGTCATTGTCTCTGTAATACTCAAAGAAGTTTAGAATTATCTCCGCTGCGAAAGTCACTGAACCAATGATACAGAACGCGAAGGTCATCCTTATTATGAGGTCCTCATGTGGCCCAAACACAAGACCATCCTTTGCCAGACTCACGTCGGAATAAAACAGCCAATCGCTGACAAAGTCAAACAGGTCAGCGAACAGTGAAACCATCAACACTACCAGCTTCCGCAGTTTCTTAAAGCAACCCATCTCTGATGTTGGTGACTGCTTGTTTTCCTAGTAGAGTAAACAATTCAGCTGTAAAGAAATAAAATAACATTATAAGTAAGATGTTCTAAATGAAGCCATCAGTAAACGCAGAGGATTCAATCTACTCAATCAAAAGGGTTTCCAAAACGACCTTTGATTTCAATTTTCTTTTGGTGAGGTGTAGACCTTAACTTTATCACAACAAAAACACCCATTAAAACTCAACTGAGTACTTTTTTCAACCCCATGCTGTAATTAAGTTAATTAATCATCTAAATAATTAGAAGAGTGATTCAAAGTAATAACGCTGGATGTATAAGGGATTGTAAAAAGTTAATACAGCAGCATAAATCTCGTAGCATTTCTGAAACGAAAGTGATGAGGGGTAAGCTCCTTTGTAATTTTAACATTGCTGTAAATTGTCCCTTTGTAACTGTACCACAGTTTGATTAGAAGCCTATATCACATTGGAGTTCCTTCCCTTTAACCAAAGATACCCAATCGTTGATTTTTGGAGGATCAGATTACCAATTTGTTTTTATCAATTATGTGTTTACAGGTTTAAATGAACCATGTATGTGTGTAGAAGAATAAAACAATCTTGTAAATACCTTAAAGCTGACAGTGCAAGTTAAGCAGCTTTCAATGGAGACCCATACTTATTACCAAACAGGCATAAACTAAAACGTAGGCGCTTCCTTAAGGAAATAGCCGGAGGAGATAGTCACTTGGGAATATCTCAAAACCTGAAAAACATAAAACCTCTTATTTTTTTAGCTTTTATCTGGCACTGTCAGCTTTAAAATAAAAAACATATTCAAAATCACGGGAGAGAATTTAAGCAAACTTCTTAAAATGTAGTCTCCTGATTCAAATTAGAAAAACAACTTCTTTGATAAAGATATGATGTATAAATAATATAATAAGGTAATGTTGATACAGTAATCACTAGTGGGTTACAAGGATTACAGTAATATAGTAATGGTATAGTCTAGTTTAATATAATATGGGGTTATTTCTAATATGATAAAGTTATAATAGTGTATATATGATTAAGACCTTACCTCCGTCTGTGTGTTAGAACTGTAACAGATTGTAATGTAGATGTGTCGCTAAAACTGTTCGGAAGGTCAAGTGATCAGGATGTATATCGACGTCCCCTTTCTGTACTCTCCGTCCCCTTCCTGTACTCTCGAATGATTTCTCTCTTTTCTAATTTTCAGAAAACTGATACTAGTTTGAACTGACATTCTTATTTAGTATAAGTGACACTCATTTCCGTGACACATACCAAACATTTATTTACATCAGTTATACAGCAACGTGTTGACATTATTAGCTCAGACTTAATAAAGGGACAAAATCATACCCAACAAAGTAAATAGGTATATAGGTCCAGTTTGCTGACAGCATCACCTGTAAACCTGTGTGTTACCTGTATATTACCTGTGTACACCTGTGATGACAAAGGTGACCCCACCTTCCATTATTGACTGTTACTAATACCTTTTGTTTGATTTCCAGATAACTTTGTGTAAAGTTATCAGACATATACATTTATCAAAGTTCCATTTTTTCAGGTTATTTATCTTAATGTATGTTAGCAAGTGAATTTGTTTAAGTAAATATGCAAGTGAAAAAGTCTCCAAATAAATTTTGTTTACATATCGGGATCTGCAAGTTTGTGACACAGCTGTAACACTTTGGTCATCATTCTACCCTCCACAATGCAAGCAGAGAATCGATAGAATCTGACTAACACAGATATATACTGGAATCAGCTTGTCCATCTCTCCATCTTGTGCAGTGCCTAGGGTTATACTGGAATCAGCTTGTCCATCTCTCCATCTTCTGCAGGGCCTAGGGTTATACTGGAATCAGCTTGTCCATCTTTCCATCTTGTGCAGGGCCTAGGGTTATACTGGAATCAGCTTGTCCATCTTTCCATCTTGTGCAGGGCCTAGGGTTATACTGGAATCAGCTTGTCCATCTTTCCATCTTGTGCAGGGCCTAGGGTTATACTGGAATCAGCTTGTCCATCTTTCCATCTTGTGCAGGGCCTAGGGTTATACTGGAATCAGCTTGTCCATCTTTCCATCTTGTGCAGGGCCTAGGGTTATACTGGAATCAGCTTGTCCATCTTTCCATCTTGTGCAGGGCCTAGGGTTATACTGGAATCAGCTTGTCCATCTTTCCATCTTGTGCAGGGCCTAGGGTTATACTGGAATCAGCTTGTCCATCTTTCCATCTTGTGCAGGGCCTAGGGTTATACTGGAATCAGCTTGTCCATCTTTCCATCTTGTGCAGGGCCTAGGGTTATACTGGAATCAGCTTGTCCATCTTTCCATCTTGTGCAGGGCCTAGGGTTATACTGGAATCAGCTTGTCCATCTTTCCATCTTGTGCAGGGCCTAGGGTTATACTGGAATCAGCTTGTCCATCTTTCCATCTTGTGCAGGGCCTAGGGTTATACTGGAATCAGCTTGTCCATCTTTCCATCTTGTGCAGGGCCTAGGGTTATACTGGAATCAGCTTGTCCATCTTTCCATCTTGTGCAGGGCCTAGGGTTATACTGGAATCAGCTTGTCCATCTTTCCATCTTGTGCAGGGCCTAGGGTTATACTGGAATCAGCTTGTCCATCTTTCCATCTTGTGCAGGGCCTAGGGTTATACTGGAATCAGCTTGTCCATCTTTCCATCTTGTGCAGGGCCTAGGGTTATACTGGAATCAGCTTGTCCATCTTTCCATCTTGTGCAGGGCCTAGGGTTATACTGGAATCAGCTTGTCCATCTTTCCATCTTGTGCAGGGCCTAGGGTTATACTGGAATCAGCTTGTCCATCTTTCCATCTTGTGCAGGGCCTAGGGTTATACTGGAATCAGCTTGTCCATCTTTCCATCTTGTGCAGGGCCTAGGGTTATACTGGAATCAGCTTGTCCATCTTTCCATCTTGTGCAGGGCCTAGGGTTATACTGGAATCAGCTTGTCCATCTTTCCATCTTGTGCAGGGCCTAGGGTTATACTGGAATCAGCTTGTCCATCTTTCCATCTTGTGCAGGGCCTAGGGTTATACTGGAATCAGCTTGTCCATCTTTCCATCTTGTGCAGGGCCTAGGGTTATACTGGAATCAGCTTGTCCATCTTTCCATCTTGTGCAGGGCCTAGGGTTATACTGGAATCAGCTTGTCCATCTTTCCATCTTGTGCAGGGCCTAGGGTTATACTGGAATCAGCTTGTCCATCTTTCCATCTTGTGCAGGGCCTAGGGTTATACTGGAATCAGCTTGTCCATCTTTCCATCTTGTGCAGGGCCTAGGGTTATACTGGAATCAGCTTGTCCATCTTTCCATCTTGTGCAGGGCCTAGGGTTATACTGGAATCAGCTTGTCCATCTTTCCATCTTGTGCAGGGCCTAGGGTTATACTGGAATCAGCTTGTCCATCTTTCCATCTTGTGCAGGGCCTAGGGTTATACTGGAATCAGCTTGTCCATCTTTCCATCTTGTGCAGGGCCTAGGGTTATACTGGAATCAGCTTGTCCATCTTTCCATCTTGTGCAGGGCCTAGGGTTATACTGGAATCAGCTTGTCCATCTTTCCATCTTGTGCAGGGCCTAGGGTTATACTGGAATCAGCTTGTCCATCTTTCCATCTTGTGCAGGGCCTAGGGTTATACTGGAATCAGCTTGTCCATCTTTCCATCTTGTGCAGGGCCTAGGGTTATACTGGAATCAGCTTGTCCATCTTTCCATCTTGTGCAGGGCCTAGGGTTATACTGGAATCAGCTTGTCCATCTTTCCATCTTGTGCAGGGCCTAGGGTTATACTGGAATCAGCTTGTCCATCTTTCCATCTTGTGCAGGGCCTAGGGTTATACTGGAATCAGCTTGTCCATCTTTCCATCTTGTGCAGGGCCTAGGGTTATACTGGAATCAGCTTGTCCATCTTTCCATCTTGTGCAGGGCCTAGGGTTATACTGGAATCAGCTTGTCCATCTTTCCATCTTGTGCAGGGCCTAGGGTTATACTGGAATCAGCTTGTCCATCTTTCCATCTTGTGCAGGGCCTAGGGTTATACTGGAATCAGTTTATGTATCACTGGGTATTCTAGTTTTCCTTTGTAATGTCAGTGAAAAGTCTAGCAGTCATTTAATCTATCCACTGTATGCATTCAAGGACAGGTTAAGTAAAAAAATGTTTCACTGTAAAATAAGTAACTAATAACAAAAAAATAGGGTAAAATTCATTTATTGGGAATTATATTTGGTTTGAAATATGAAAATTAAACAAAGTTAAAATTTGTACATTGAAAAAGATACAATCTTTATATCCATTGTTCAATGTGGTGCAACACAGACTGATGGTCCTTAATACCATATAGTCAACTTATTTTGATTGTACTTTATCTCCGGGCTGTACAGAACTGGAATACATACAACTAGTTGTACTTTATCTCCGGGCTGTACAAAACTGGAATACATACAACTAAACTGTACTTTATCTCCGGGCTGTACAGAACTGGAGTACATACAACTAAACATTACTTTATCTCCCAGCTGTACAGAACTGGAGTACATACAACTAAACTGTACTTTATCTCCCAGCTGTATAGAACTGGAGTACATACAACTAAACTGTACTTTATCCCCGGGCTTTACAGAACTGGAATACATACAACTAAACTGTACTTTATATCCCCACTGTACAGAACTGGAATACATACAACTAAACTGTACTTTATCTCCCCAGCTGTACAGAACTGGAATACATACAACTAAACTGTACTTTATCTCCCAGCTGTACAGAACTGGAATACATACAACTAAACTGAACTTCATCTAGCTCCCAGCTGTACAGAACTAGAATACATACAACTAAACTGTACTTGATCTCCCAGCTGTACAGAACTGGAGTACATACAACTAAACTGTACTTTATCTCCCAGCTGTACAGAACTGGAGTATAAACAACTAAACTGTACTTTATCTCCCAGCTGTACAGAACTGGAGTACATACAACTAAACTGTACTTTATCTCGAAGCTGTACAGAACTGGAATACATACAACTTAACTGTACTTCATCTAGCTCCAAGCTGTACAGAACTGGAATACATACAACTAAACTGTACTTTATCTCCCAACTGTACAGAACTGGAGTACATACAACTTAACTGTACTTTATCTCCCAGCTGTACAGAACTGGAATACATACAACTAAACTGTACTTTATTTCCCAGCTGTACAGAACTGGAATACATATAACTAAACTGTACTTCATCTACATTTGTGATCTTTACTGAGAATCAGCCAATCAATAAGTAAGATATTTTTGATAGAGTTTGACATGTTAGGTACATTTCACAAATAAACGGGTATCAACGTCCAGCCAGTACTAACTTTAAAGACACCTAAAACAATTAAATCTAGTCATCAATATTTGTTATTCAATATAAACACAATCATTTTATTTACAATATAGAGTAATTTTTACGTGTTAATAACACTTTAAACCATGTGAAAATACAATGTAAAATAAAAAGCACCAAATAAGAATCACACAATCACACAATCATTCAAACATTAAGGAGATGCAGTTATGTGTTAAACAAAACGAAAAATGAGGATGCAATCACATTTTTTTTTATAGAAGTTCATCAAATATTTATCACAATCAGATTATAGCACTACATCAAATGCCTATGAAAACCTTGCCCTCAACAACTGACACCACCTCACGAACATAAGAATTAATACACAAGCTTGTCCTGAAGAATTTGAGGTGTTCACATGGTTTACCATACGTTTTTCTGATTGTTCCAAATATGATCTTAGTTTTTGTGCATATTATCTAGAAATTTTGCTATACATGTATATAGTGTCGTATTGTGTATTGGTATGAATGATGTCATATTTACCCAAAATTTCTGGTGAAAGGAAGGAGGAAAAGAGTCTATCATTATGTAGATGGTAGTTTACCTTCAGNACTACTTTATCTCCCAGCTGTACAGAACTGGAGTACATACATCTAAACACTGTACTTGATCTCCCAGCTTTACAGACCAGAATACATACAACTAAACTGTACTTTATCTCCCAGCTGTACAGAACTGGAATACATACAACTAAACTGTGCTTTATCTCCCATCTGTACAGAACTGGAATACATACAACTAAACTGTACTTTATCTCCCCGCTGTACAGAACTGGAAAACATACAACTAAACTGTACTTCATCTAGCTCCCAGCTGTACAGAACTAGAATACATACAACTAAACTGTACTTTATCTCCCAGCTGTACAGAACTGGAGAACATACCCTAAACTGTACTTTATCTCCCAGCTGTACAGAACTGGAGTACATACAACTAAACTGTCCTTCATCTAGCTCCCAGCTGTACAGTACTAGAATTCATACAACTAAACTGTACTTTATCTCCCAGCTGTACAGAACTGGAATACATATAACTAAACTGTACTTTATCTCCCAGCTGTACAGAACTGGAGAACATACCCTAAACGGTACTTTATCTCCCAGCTGTACAGAACTGGAGTACATACAACTTAACTGTACTTTATCTCCCAGCTGTACAGTACTAGAATACATACAACTAAACTGTACTTTATCTCCCAGCTGTACAGAACTGGAATACATACAACTAAACTGTACTTCATCTAGCTCCCAGCTGTACAGAACTGGAATACATACAACTAAACTGTACTTTATTTCCCAGCTGTACAGAACTGGAATACATATAACTAAACTGTACTTCATCTACATTTGTGATCTTTACTGAGAATCAGCCAATCAATAAGTAAGATATTTTTGATAGAGTTTGACATGTTAGGTACATTTCACAAATAAACGGGTATCAACGTCCAGCCAGTACTAACTTTAAAGACACCTAAAACAATTAAATCTAGTCATCAATATTTGTTATTCAATATAAACACAATCATTTTATTTACAATATAGAGTAATTTTTACGTGTTAATAACACTTTAAACCATGTGAAAATACAATGTAAAATAAAAAGCACCAAATAAGAATCACACAATCACACAATCATTCAAACATTAAGGAGATGCAGTTATGTGTTAAACAAAACGAAAAATGAGGATGCAATCACATTTTTTTTTATAGAAGTTCATCAAATATTTATCACAATCAGATTATAGCACTACATCAAATGCCTATGAAAACCTTGCCCTCAACAACTGACACCACCTCACGAACATAAGAATTAATACACAAGCTTGTCCTGAAGAATTTGAGGTGTTCACATGGTTTACCATACGTTTTTCTGATTGTTCCAAATATGATCTTAGTTTTTGTGCATATTATCTAGAAATTTTGCTATACATGTATATAGTGTCGTATTGTGTATTGGTATGAATGATGTCATATTTACCCAAAATTTCTGGTGAAAGGAAGGAGGAAAAGAGTCTATCATTATGTAGATGGTAGTTTACCTTCAGGTGTAGAATTCCTGGGTCCTGACCCTTATACTACACCCAAGGGTAGAAATATCACACATAACTACATCATTGTCATAGACTCTAATAGTATTTCTGTAAAAACTCCTGGATGACTAGTAGTACATGCTGCTCTGTATTCTTCTATAGAACAGTTAATATTGTCCAGACTGGTTAAAAATAGTTTTTAATTCAAAATTGGTGTTCATCTTTTAATAAAACAGTTATATGTACAGTTGTATAATAACTTTTAATAAAACAGTTACATGTAAAAAAAATTCTAACAAAATGTGCTTACATCCATCAGTAAAACAACACAAAAGATAACAACAACAATATCTGTACCAAACATTTAAAAAAAACCAAAAAAACTTTTAGATATTATTTGGAAATGATAGATTCAATTAACAATCAGATGTCTTTTTATGAAAAGATTTGTAATGAAATTTCAGTATTTCTACCTTTAGAACTGTATGACTTATACTTACATATACTTACATTAAAATAAAACCTGGGGTTAGTATTTAAACATATTATTATACTTCATCTTTATAACAGCATGTCTGATTGGCTGATACCAGTCACATGATTGGGCAATAAAACGTCATGTTGCCCTCACACACTCAAGTTTCCCTGATCATATCTCCGTTATTTTCCGGCATAATAAAATATTCATTGCCCATGCAGCAGAGAATCACGAGTCTTTGTTTCTCCTCAATTAATCTGGTTGAACTCGGGCTTCACCGTTGTGAAACATAATTACTCTCGGAGTATCAATTAAAGAATCCTGTTTTCCTACAGTACGGACAATGTATAATGTAACCCCACTAGATCATAGCACATCTCTAAAATGGGTTTATTGTAGAAAAGTAAACATATAATTAATTTTAAAATCTTCATTTGTTCAGTAAAACAAAGTTTGAATTAATTTAAGAAAACAGGAAATACTGTTTGTTAACATGGGATAAACCCAGAGGATGGGTGGTACGTTTTTGAGAAGTGTAAAAGGGGTACACCGCTGAACCGCTTTGAGACGACCTACAAACTAGGTTGTGATAAAGCGAGATATAAGAACTTCAAATTATTATTATTATAATACTGTATATATACAGATACAACTTGTAACCTGACACTAGTACTTTCATCAGAATATAAAGCAGTACTGACAACTGAATGATATTTCTATCAAACATAAAAAAATAGTGAATAATGACAAATGTCATTTAAATACAAATGTACTAAGGTCTTTTCAGAACTTATCTTCAGCTTTGTAGATCAACTATGTGGTCCCTTCTATTTGACTCATTATATAAAAAACTGTTTGTACATATAGACATGAATACTCTTACAACATTAATACAGAAGGCTAAAGTAGTTATAAATACAGGTTTCACCAGATGAACATAAAGAGAAGGCTAAAGTAGTTATAAATACAAGTTTTACCAGGGATGTTTTCGTTAAAACGGTTGAACTGGTCAGACCACATTTGTTTGTTTATTAAATAAGGTTGGACCTACAGTTGTAGTAATCTGATGCTGCTTTCAGGCAAGCCTTTCAAGGCCTGCATAAACATTAACAGGTCCCCCAGGATTTTAAAAACGGACAAACCGGTTGTTCCACATAAACGAACAGGCCCCNATACATATAACTAAACTGTACTTTATCTCCCAGCTGTACAGAACTGGAATACATACAACTAAACTGTACTTTATNTTTCATCAGAATATAAAGCAGTACTGACAACTGAATGATATTTCTATCAAACATAAAAAAATAGTGAATAATGACAAATGTCATTTAAATACAAATGTACTAAGGTCTTTTCAGAACTTATCTTCAGCTTTGTAGATCAACTATGTGGTCCCTTCTATTTGACTCATTATATAAAAAACTGTTTGTACATATAGACATGAATACTCTTACAACATTAATACAGAAGGCTAAAGTAGTTATAAATACAGGTTTCACCAGATGAACATAAAGAGAAGGCTAAAGTAGTTATAAATACAAGTTTTACCAGGGATGTTTTCGTTAAAACGGTTGAACTGGTCAGACCACATTTGTTTGTTTATTAAATAAGGTTGGACCTACAGTTGTAGTAATCTGATGCTGCTTTCAGGCAAGCCTTTCAAGGCCTGCATAAACATTAACAGGTCCCCCAGGATTTTAAAAACGGACAAACCGGTTGTTCCACATAAACGAACAGGCCCCAGATGAACATATACAGAAGGCTAATTAATAAAGTAGTTATAAATAAAGGTTTTACCAGATGAACATATACAGGTTTTACCAGATGAACGGTTATAAAGAAATACTTCTGTGGAAATTACAGTATAAAGCCTATTGTTTGAACCAATAATCTCTAGAGGAGAGGAGAGTCTATACACATCTTTAACTGGACTGTAATCAAATTACTTAGGTACATGTACTGATGTCTGAAGGAGACTTGTCCATAAAGATAGTTTTTTTAGCACTATAGGTACTACATAGATACATTATAGACAGGGTACAGGCAGGTCAGTGTTATGTGTAGGTTGTGACTTTCCTGTGAATCTACAGCCGAGGAAACCTGTCTTCCATATTTCAGTGATGGGCTGTAGGTGTAACTTCGAGTAAAACTTGCTTTCTGTCACTGATACCGGCGCCACTAAGTGGTGGACTCCAGACGAGATGGCCAGTCTCGATTTGAAGTAGCGTAGGGAGAGGCGTGGTGGTTGTGTGGTGGGGATAATTACACTGTTACAGTTATTATCCAGGTAAACGTCTGAGTTGTACTCTATGTCTCCCAGTAGCAAATGACCCTCAGGTTCAACAAATCTCAGCTCTATCACCGCAGACACTGTTCGTTGGTTCTGGATCGAACATCTATCAAGCGAAGTCTGTAAGACCCAAAATGCACCATTTTTGAAGTAGCATTCTGAGAAGTTTGCTGTTGCTAGGGATCCTGGTGGTTTTTGTATTGAGAGAAACTTGCTAGCCCCTACACCAAATGTAACATGAGTGACAATGGTATTTTTCCTTTCCCCAAAGTCATGAATGTCCACCAATCTGATCCATTCATCTGTCGCCATGGCGACGTTTGGTCCACCATCTTTGGATGCCAAGTTAGCATACACACCAACCTGGTCAAAGTATTTGTCTGTGTTATATTCACCGTCCAGAAGTCGGCGAGGATTCTGGAACTTGAGGCTGCCATCTGCATTGTCCCAAGTGAGCTGTGTGAAGGAAAACACCATGATGGATCCAAGCATTATCAAAAGGATACCTGGAAAGGTGATGATTCTCACCCATTTGTTGATACGCTGATTTTCCTTAGAGCCGATCTTCTCCTCCTTCCGTCTCCAGTACCAGTAACGAACTATTGCTATCACAAGCTTTATCAGTGCTCCAAACATACAGATACTGGCCTTTATGATCTGAACCACACTGATTGGTTGATCTCGGCATGCAACTATGACAACATTGATGACGATTTGAGGGACATCTTCCACCCAGATTACGAGCAAAGCAGCCGTGTCCAAAAGGAGTGTGGGAAGGTCATCACGTGTCAGATTAAAGGCCAAAGTGATGATTTCAAACAGAAACAAACATGAACCAATGATAGAGAAGGCTAGCAGTGCTGTAGTCAGGCCATTTTCAAAGTGGCCAAAAACCAAGCCTTCCTTTGCCTCAACAACGTCATGGTACAGTAGCCAGTCACTGATCATATCAATTGAGTCCACAATTAAAGATGTGGTGAAGGCTATCAAACGTAAAATGTAGGAACACTCCATTTTGTTTTTTTGACAGCTCTTATATTCCCAAGAATGATGTAATGTTGACACACGCCACACGAATACTGTGCTGTAACGTACACTATCCACAAGTCAATGTGCTCCAGTAGAATCGTATAGCCTTGTGGGTATCAAATGTTGATATCTTTACATGGCAGCTTCATCTGCAACAGAAAAAAACGGGTTGTTTTATAAAAAAATACACTATTATCTACAGGTGATGGCGATATGGCCTCCCTTATTGGAATTGTATTGAAAATCACAATTGTAACATTCTAAGGAAAACTCAATAATCAATACAATAATTGACCTATAAAGAGTGATACTAATGAATGATACAATAATTCACTATAAAGAGTGATACTAATGAATGATACAATAATTCACTATAAAGAGTGATACCAATGAATGATACAATAATTGACTATAAAGAGTGATACCAATGAATGATACAATAATTGACTATAAAGAGTGATACCAATGAATGATACAATAATTGACTATAAAGAGTGATACTAATGAATGATACAATAATTAACTATAAAGATAATACTAATGAATGATACAATAATTGACTATAAAGAGTGATACCAAAGAATGATACAATAATTAACTTTAAAGATAATACTAATGAATGATACAATATTTGACCTATAAAGAGTGATTCCAATAAATGATAAAATAATTGGTATCACTCTTTATAGTCAATTCTTTTATCATTTATTGGTATCACTCTTTATAATACAATAATTGACTATAAAAGGTGATACAAATGACTGATACCAATGAATGATACAATAATGGACTATAAAGAGTGATACCGATGAATGATACAATAATTAACTTTAAAGATAATACTAATGAATGATACAATATTTGACCTATAAAGAGTGATACCAACGACTGATACAATAATTGACTATAAAGACTGATACCAATGAATGATACCAATGAATGATACCATAATTAACTATAAAGAGTAATACCAATGAATGATACAATTATTAACTATAAAGAGTGATACCAATGAGTGATACAATAATTGACTATAAAAGGTGATACCAATGAATGATACAATTATTAACTATAAAGAGTGATACCAGTGAATGATACAATAATTGACCTATCAAGAGTCATACCAATGCATGATACAATAATTGACCTATCAAGAGTCATACCAATGCATGATACAATAATTGACCTATCAAGAGTCATACCAATGCATGATACAATAATTGACCTATAAAGAATGATACCAATGAATGATACCAATGAATGATACAATAATTGACTATAAAAGGTGATACCAATGAATGATACCATAATTAACTATAAAGAGTAATACCAATGAATGATACAATAATCAACTATAAAGAGTGATACCAGTGAATGATACAATAATTAACTATAAAGAGTAATACCAATGAATGATACAATAGTTAACTATAAAGAGTGATACTAATGAGTGTAATACCAATGAATGATACAATAATCAACTATAAAGAGTGATACTAATGAATAATACAATAATTGACTATAAAAGGTGATACCAATGAATGATACAATTATTAACTATAAAGAGTGATACTAATGAATAGGGGGATAATTGACTATAAAGAGTAATACCAATGAATGATACAATTATTAACTATAAAGAGTGATACTAATGAGTGATACAATAGTTGACTATAAAGAGTGATACTAATGAGTGTAATACCAATGAATGATACAATTATTAACTATAAAGAGTGATACTAATGAGTGTAATACCAATGAATGATACAATAATCAACTATAAAGAGTGATACTAATGAATGATACAATAATTCACTATAAAGAGTGATACCAAGGAAGGATACAATAATTGACTATAAAGACTGATACCAATGAATGATACCAATGAATGATACAATAGTTAACTATAAAGAGTGATACCAGTGAATGATACAATAATTAACTATAAAGAGTAATACCAATGAATGATACAATTATTAACTATAAAGAGTGATACCAATGAAGGATAAAATAATTGACCTATAAAGAGTGATTCCAATAAATGATAAAATAATTGACTATAAAGAGCGATACCAATAAATGATAAAAGAATTGACTATAAAGAGTGATTCCAATAAATGATAAAATAATTGGTATCACTCTTTATAGTTAATAATTGTATCATTCATTGGTATCGCTCTTTATAGTCAATTATTGTATTATAAAGAGTGATACCAATGAATGATACAATAATTGACTATAAAGAGTGATACTAATGAATAATACAATAATTGACTATAAAGAGTGATACCAATAAATGATAAAATAATTGACTATAAAGAGTGATACTAATGAGTGATACAATAATTGACTATAAAGAGTGATACCAATGAATGATACAATAATTGACTATCAAGAGTGATACTAATGAGTGATACAATAGTTGACTATAAAGAGTGATAACAATGAATGATACAATAATTGACTATAAAGAGTGATACCAATAAATGATACAATAATTAACTATAAAGAGTGATACCAATAAATGATACAATAATTGACTATTGAGTGATACTATAGTGATTGACCTGTTGACCTTCAGTAATGAATTCTGTGTCCTTTAACTCTGTAGAGAATAACACTGTGTTCAATGTTGTTACATAATGATTTAACTTTAAACACTATTAAATATACAGATACATGTAGAAGGCTCCACATGATAGGACTATTTCATAGCACTCCTCCTCTGATAAACTGTACATCTTCTGAAGTATCAAGATAGTCCTATCACAGATTAAGGGGTGCTTTAAAGTCTGTGTGTAAGAAAGGCATGTGTTTTAAAACCATCAGCAGTGTTTGGTGTGCTTCTCTGTGTAGCATCTGTATCTGTAGCCAGTGACTATAAATAGTAACGGAGTTCCCATTGATTTTTATTGAACACAGAAATTCCTAGAAGATGGTAATAGGATGTTGTTACTCATATTCTATTTATGTTTGTAAGTAAGAGTATTGTCACGACTAATTTAGGACCCGCACAACTAAATCAGGAGCTGTTTGAAAACACCATAGCTCGGCTATTGGTTACATAATTGGTTTAGATTGGTTTTGGGTTGGTTAGGTTTTATTTTGTTTATATGTCCTATCAACAGCTAAGGTCATTAAAGAACGCGACTCCATGTGTGTTGTGTATGTGTGCTTGTGTGTATTTGTGCAGAAAGCAGGGTATGTTGGTGTATTTGCCTCCTTGTGACAGTGTGACTTTATCACTGGGGTTTAAAACACAACGCAATACATCATTAATAGTACTATTTTATAGTGCTATCTCACTGAAATACTATGCTGAAGGCACCCAGCACAGCACTCTGCCCGGCACTTTATACTGCATGACAACAGGTGAACCAGTTATTAAAATATCAATAGAAATACATGTACCTTAATATGGCAAGGTATTGTTATTTTGTTGTTGTACAATGTAGGTAACCATACAATATATAGGAAACTCAGACAGTGAAGTCATAGTCGGAATAATACAATATTGTATTACAATAGCTGAGCTTTTAAATTCATATAAGTTTATACAGATGTACTCATAGGCTTGAGTTACATATTTATTTAAATATTGGTGATGGCTGATCATTAAAAAACTAATTTTAAGTCGATCAGCCCCTTTGGCCTACAGAATATGAATAATGGTTCAGCACATTGCTTACACTCTATATTAATGCCTTAGCCTTATAATAGTCAACAGCCTATGGACTGTGGTGATCCAACACTGAACAAAAAAAGGCTCCTTAAATAAAACAATTTATCCTAAAGTAGGGCTCCAACACGGATGCTGGGAGGGCTATAGGTGAGCTATAGCCAATCTCAGTGTTTCACACAAAGATAAGATCTACTTTTTTTTGATAAGATAAGGTCAACTAGAGAAGTGTATGTGGCATCATTACATAATGGTTTATTGATATATGACACTAATTTCGTTTCTAAATATCATACTCTTTAATAACGCCACATCCACGTTTTGTCATTACAATGTATTTTTTTCTGTATCTATAGGCTCTGGAATATCCCAACTATAAATTGCTCTATGTAGTTTGACATATGCTTGGGCAGGCATTTGGTGATATGACGAATTGACAATTGATCTAAAGGTGTACTTACCAGGGGGAATAACTCTTGAAAGTTCAATTCCATTACTATGTGTAAGTCTGGTACTGACTTAGACAATGTACCATTACAGGTCAGACAGTGTGATTCTGGTACTGACTTAGACAATGTACCATTACAGGTCAGACAGTGTGATTCTGGTACTGACTTAGACAATGTACCATTACAGGTCAGACAGTGTGATTCTGGTACTGACTTAGACAATGTACCATTACAGGTCAGACAGTGTGATTCTGGTACTGACTTAGACAATGTACCATTACAGGTCAGACAGTGTGATTCTGGTACTGACTTAGACAATGTACCATTACAGGTCAGACAGTGTGATTCTGGTACTGACTTAGACAATGTACCATTACAGGTCAGACAGTGTGATTCTGGTACTGACTTAGACAATGTACCATTACAGGTCAGACAGTGTGATTCTGGTACTGACTTAGACAATGTACCATTACAGGTCAGACAGTGTGATTCTGGTACTGACTTAGACAATGTACCATTACAGGTCAGACAGTGTGATTCTGGTACTGACTTAGACAATGTACCATTACAGGTCAGACAGTGTGATTCTGGTACTGACTTAGACAATGTACCATTACAGGTCAGACAGTGTGATTCTGGTACTGACTTAGACAATGTACCATTACAGGTCAGACAGTGTGATTCTGGTACTGACTTAGACAATGTACCATTACAGGTCAGACAGTGTGATTCTGGTACTGACTTAGACAATGTACCATTACAGGTCAGACAGTGTGATTCTGGTACTGACTTAGACAATGTACCATTACAGGTCAGACAGTGTGATTCTGGTACTGACTTAGACAATGTACCATTACAGGTCAGACAGTGTGATTCTGGTACTGACTTAGACAATGTACCATTACAGGTCAGACAGTGTGATTCTGGTACTGACTTAGACAATGTACCATTACAGGTCAGACAGTGTGATTCTGGTACTGACTTAGACAATGTACCATTACAGGTCAGACAGTGTGATTCTGGTACTGACTTAGACAATGTACCATTACAGGTCAGACAGTGTGATTCTGGTACTGACTTAGACAATGTACCATTACAGGTCAGACAGTGTGATTCTGGTACTGACTTAGACAATGTACCATTACAGGTCAGACAGTGTGATTCTGGTACTGACTTAGACAATGTACCATTACAGGTCAGACAGTGTGATTCTGGTACTGACTTAGACAATGTACCATTACAGGTCAGACAGTGTGATTCTGGTACTGACTTAGACAATGTACCATTACAGGTCAGACAGTGTGATTCTGGTACTGACTTAGACAATGTACCATTACAGGTCAGACAGTGTGATTCTGGTACTGACTTAGACAATGTACCATTACAGGTCAGACAGTGTGATTCTGGTACTGACTTAGACAATGTACCATTACAGGTCAGACAGTGTGATTCTGGTACTGACTTAGACAATGTACCATTACAGGTCAGACAGTGTGATTCTGGTACTGACTTAGACAATGTACCATTACAGGTCAGACAGTGTGATTCTGGTACTGACTTAGACAATGTACCATTACAGGTCAGACAGTGTGATTCTGGTACTGACTTAGACAATGTACCATTACAGGTCAGACAGTGTGATTCTGGTACTGACTTAGACAATGTACCATTACAGGTCAGACAGTGTGATTCTGGTACTGACTTAGACAATGTACCATTACAGGTCAGACAGTGTGATTCTGGTACTGACTTAGACAATGTACCATTACAGGTCAGACAGTGTGATTCTGGTACTGACTTAGACAATGTACCATTACAGGTCAGACAGTGTGATTAAAGCCAATAAGATCCAAAACACAATAGATACAGATATCCAGTGTCATTTTGTCCATCAAAGTTTGATTGTTTCATGAAGATATTCTGTTGTATTTGACAAATTCCTCATTGTTAAATGGTATTAACTCATTTACCCCTGAAAACGCATTTGAACTCTTCCAATTCTAAGGTTGGAATAGTTCATTATGAAATTTCAGGGGTGAATGAGTTGAAGACACTTGCTTTCTATTTGAGTTGTAGGATATCTACTTGATATTGAGGTTGCTAAGATCGTATGTATAGTTGTTAAGGATTGTTTGTAATTTCAAAGGTTTATTTAGCATGAGAGCAGCTAGATGACTTTAATGATATATAAGTAGATCTGTACGATAGGACCAGGACTTCCGCCTGTGTGGCCATAGTCTAAGTGTACCTACTTATGTCATGTGTTGTGTTTCAAACCCCAGTGATTTGGTATACTGGAAAATATAATATTGTGTAACAATGGCCAACATTGGATTTGTGCCCCAAACACAGGAAGAAGTTAATATCATATTTAAGTACTTTCGTTGTGAAATATAAATCTGTTCTCAGTTTGTTTTTAGCTCAGCTGTCCGAAGGGCAAGTGAGCTTATGCCATGGTGCGCCATCCGTCGTTTGTCCCTCTGGCATCAACTTTTTAATTTAAATAACTTCTTCTCAGTAACCAAACCACCTAGGATGATGATATTTGGCCAGTAGCATGCTGGGATGAAGGTCCACCAAGTTTGTTCAAATGAATGATCTTGACGTACATTCAAGGTCACAGGGGTCAAATATGTTTAAAACCTTCAAAACAACTTCTTCTGAATAACCAAGAGGCCTAGGGTGATGATATTTAGTCAGTGACATTCTGTGATGAAAGGCTACCAAGTTTGTCCAAATGAATGACCTTGACTTATATTCAAGGTCACAGGGGTGAAACCTTTAAACCAACTTCTTCTAAATAACCAAGAGGCCTAGAGTTATGATATTTGGCCAGTAACATGCTGGTATAAAGGGCCACCAAGTTTGTTTGAATATATGACCTTAACCTATATTCAAGTTTATAGGGGTCGAATATGTTTAATACCTTTTTAACAAATTCTGAATAACCAAGATGCTTAGGGTGTTGATATTTGGCCATTAGTATGCTGGCATGAATGGCTATCAAGTATGTTCAAATGAATAATCTTGTATTATATTCAAGGCCATAGGGGTCAAATATGTTATCCTCTTTATAACCAAAAGGACCAGGGTCATGATATTTGGCCAGTAACATGCTGGGATGAAGGGTTACCAAGTTTGTTGAAATAAATGACCTTCACCCATTTCAAGCTTACAGGGGTCAAATATGTTGAAATCTTCAAACAACTTCTGAATAATCCAAAGGTCCAGGGTAATGATGTTTGGCCAGAATCATGCTGGTATGAAAGGCTATAAAGTCTCTTCAATGTAATGTCCTTGTTTGACTTTCAAGGTCACATGTGTCACATGTTTAAATCTTTTAATATATTCTTTTGAAGCAAGTACTGGTATTATGCCTGTAGCTGTATTTTTTAAGATTACAAGTGTAAGATTAATACCAGGTGAGCGATTTGGCCTCTTGTTATTTCATTCTTTTGATGTACATATAACAATATATAGCATAATATAAGTAAAGATTTGGTGAGAAATTCAGGTCCATAGGCCTCTATATCTCCAAATAAAACACATCTATCATTATGTGGAATGATATCTATGATGGTCATAGAGGAGATCCAGAGAGTGATAATTAAGGACGATAGCTTATACATTATACTCAACACTTAACTCACACAAATGGATATACAATGTAGATCATTTTCGGTCATCACAAGTTGGATAATTTGTTTCTCCTATCAACTCTTTCACCCCTGAAATTTTATAATGGACTATTCCATTAACCTTTGAATGGAATGAGTTCAAATGTATCTTCAGGGGTGAATGAGTTAACATGAAAGTAAATTAAGATATTGCGATGCCACATTGCTTGGGGTTATTTCACATTGTAGTAATTTCAGAAGTATGCTGAGAGTGATGAAAGCTAAGCAGTTACTGGAGAAACATTGATCAGTATTTTGTACTGCAGCCTAGCTGCTAGCTAAAATGTACGTGCATAACTGACATCAAATCCTTTCTTCAGAAACCAAAAATAGAACCAAAAGATTTCATTAAAAGTATTGGACTGATCTTTGATCTGTCTCCGCCCTAAAAAATGTTTGTACAAAAAAATCCAGGTCCTTTACGTTTTCGAGTTATGGGACTTCCGGAAGCCCTTCAGCAGACTGTCCATGTTTTCTCTTCAATTATTTATAGCGTGTTGGTACTGTGGTCCATAGCTGCCATTTATCATTGTTTCTACTCATCAATTTCACAAGGAACTCTACGATACAGTCTCTGATTCCGAGGTTTTATATAGGACGCTGTGATTACAGTTTTGGAGAAGAGAATCAATGTATCATTGTTCAATACAGAGGACTATAGGATATTAATCATGTGAATTCTATTTGGAATTTCACAGATATTTTAAATGAGACCAGAATTTTCATTTTAACCTGTCTATGGTGAGTTATAATGTAATATTCAGGACAATTAAGTTTAATCTTAATCAAATGAAGTAAAAAAGATCAATTACAAAGCCTTGAACTAATTAGAAAATACCTCTCCTGAAGCCTTGGCTGACATTCCAGCTTACCAATTGAATTAGAAAATGAAGATGTCCGAGTTCTATGTTACTATCGGTCTGTTGACAAGGTTAATGGGATATGCTCCCCTACAGACTATTGTATGTGACAGATTCCTATTGTTTGTGATGCCTTGTTGTGAATTAGCCTTGATGTCCATTGCTCCTGCAGGCTATCAGCTCACATTAGTTTGTAGTAAACATCAGTGTACTAAGCTGAGATCACCTGATAAGTCTGTGATGGACATTATATATAAGTCATACACATACAGCAAGATCCTTCTGTAGTTAATCCCCAATGACATCTCATTCTGTAGCTTATTTAAGGACAAATAGTTAACACTAGTGACCAGAATATCACTCCATATCACCCAAACATGCTCCTACCTCAGCCCTCCCTCCCTCCACACCATTCAGCCGTCAATCCCCAATGACATCTCATTCTGTAGCTTATTTAAGGACAAATAGTTAACACTATAACCAGAATATCACTCTCCATCACCCAAACATGCTCCTACCTCAGCCCTCCTTCCCTTCACACTATTCAGCCGTCAGCTGGTTATCATGGCCTCCATCAACACCCTATCATGATAACCAAGTAGCAGCTTACCATGTGATATTTATCCCCCCCCCCATGTTTTAGTTACAAACACAGATTTAATGTTTCTACAGCTATACACATCTGCCATACCCAGCATCATTGTGCACATTATGGATCTCAATATGTGTGTCAAAATTGGAATCCATGTTGACTGGAGGGCTGGCATTCCATCAGTACATGCATCAGTCTGGTAGTATAAAAACCTGTACTGGTCTGTAGCCACAGGCGTAAATCAGTGTAAGGTTGATATTTAATAATATACAAGTGTTGATTTACTGTGTTGCTACTGCTATAATCTATTAATCAGGAAACAAACACAGCCCTATAGCCACAACAACCCCTCACTAGAACAATGGCCTTGTATACTGACTGGGTCTTATAGTACAGTGTATCTGAAAGTCATCTCCTGGTCAGTGTAAAGGTGTACAACTCACCAACTAACTTCCTGATCCTCTCCCTCACTCCAGTTCTGTCCATGGAGGGGTGCCGTAGTCCAAACCTCAAGACTGATCCAGGACTTGCAGGGTTAAGCCTGTTTCCCCAGTGATAGCATCTCCTTTGGAACAGCAGTACTAATATTGTGTGCTGCCGTTAGAGTGGTGAATGATGTCATGTGATCAATATTGTAAGGTCATGCTAAGGACTAACGGTCCTACTGCCGTGTTACTGCAGCCCCAGGGGGTAGACAGCTGGCCTCGCCCCAGGGGTCACTTATCTACGCACTCAGGTGTCAGTGTACTGATGATTAAGACAACTTGTATGTTAAAGAGGAAACTTGTGTATGGAAAAGAAAAAATAAGTACTTTGCTATTAGTTTTGTATGTAGAATTAGTAGAATATTGTCAATATCTGTCAATGGTTTATTATAAGTTAAAAAATGTTGATCTTTGACTCACAAACTTTTTCCTGTACAGTAACTCTGCAGAGGAGGAGTGAAGCTTTGCCTGTCAGAATGTTTGTTTCTGTCTCATTATCCCCAGTTAATTTAAATAAAGAATCTCAAGGATCAACCTGGTGGGCTGTCAAAGTTAATACTAGTTATAGTCGTGAAGATTTACCTAACATCCTGTCAAAGTTAATACTAGTTAAAAGCCTTGAAGATTTACCTAACATCCAGTCAAAGTTAATGCTAGTTAAGAGTCTTGAGGATTTACCTAACATCCAGTCTAAGTTAATGCTAGTTAAGAGTCTTGAAGTTTATCTAACATCCAGTCAAAGTTAATGCTAGTTAAGAGTCTTGAAGATTTACCTAACATCCAGTCAAAGTTCATGCTTGTTAAGAGTCTTGAGGATTTACCTATCATCTAATCAAAGTTAATGCTAGTTAAGAGTCTTGAGGATTTACCTAACATCCAGTCAAAGTTAATACTAGTTAAAAGTCTTGAGGATTTATCTAACATCCAGTCAAAGTTACTGCTAGTTAAGAGTCTTGAGGATTACTTAACATCCAGTCAAAGTTAATGCTAGTTAAGAGTCTTGAAGATTTACTTAACATCAAGTCAAATTTAATGCTAGTTAAGAGTCTTGAGGATTACCTAACATCCAGTCAAAGTTAATACTAGTTAAGAGTCTTGAAGATTAACTTAACATCCTGTCAAAGTTAATACAAGTTAAAAGCCTTGAAGATTTACCTAACATCCAGTCAAAGTTAATGCTAGATAAGAGTCTTAGGGAATTACCTGGTGGCCAGTCAAAGTTAATACAAGTTAATAGTCTTGAAGATTTACCTAACATCCAGTCAAAGTTAATGCTAGTTAAGAGTCTTGAAGATTTGCCTAACATCCAGTCAAAGTTCATGCTTGTTAAGAGTCTTGAAGATTTACCTAACATCCAGTCAAAGTTAATGCTAGTTAAGAGTCTTAGGGAATTACCTGGTGGCCAGTCAAAGTTAATACAAGTTAATAGTCTTGAAGATTTACCTAACATCAAGTCAAACTAAATGCTAGTTAAGAGTCTTGAGGATTTACCTAACATCTAGTCAAAGTTCATGCTAGTTCAGAATCTTGAGGATTTACCTGACATCCAGTCAAATTTTATTCTAGAAAAGAATCTTGAGGATTTACCTGACATCCAGTCAAAGTTGATGCTAGTTAAGAGTCTTGAGGATTTACCTGACATCCAGTCAAAATTCATGCTAGTTAAGAGTTTTGGAAGCTTTACCTAGCATCCAGTCAAAGTTAATTCTAGCAAAGAGTCTTGAGGACTTACATGACATCCAGTCAAAATTCATGCTAGTTAAGAGTCTTGGAAGATTAACCTAACATCCAGTCAAAGTTAATTCCAATAAAGAGTCTTGAAGATTTACCTAACATCCAGTCAAAGTTAATTCTAGTTAAGAGTCTAGAAGATTTACCTGACATCCAGTCAAAGTTGATGCTAGTTAAGAATCTTGAGGATTTACCTGAAATCCAGTCAAAGTTGATGATAGTTTAAGAGTCTTTGGGATTTACCTGGTGGCCAGTCAAAGTTAATACAAGTTAAAGAGTCTTGAGGATTTACCTAACATCCAGTTAAAGTTAATACTAGTTAAGAGTCTTGAGGATTTACCTGTCATCCAGTCAAAGTTGATGCTAGTTAAGAGTCTTGAGGATTTACCTGACATCCAGTCAAAATTCATGCTAGTAAAGAGTCTTGGAAGCTTTACCTAACATCCAGTCAAAGTTAATTCTAGTAAAGAGTCTTGAGGATTTACCTGACATCCAGTCAAAATTCATGCTGGTAAAGAGTCTTGGAAGATTTACCTAACATCCAGTCAAAGTTAATTCTAGTAAAGAGTCTTGAGGATTTACCTGACATCCAGTCAAAATTCATGCTAATAAGGAGTCCTGGAAGATTTACCTAACATCCAGTCAAAGTTAATTCTAGTTAAGAGTCTAGAGGATTTACCTGACATCCAGTCAAAGTTGATGCTAGTTAAGAATCTTGAGGATTTACCTGACATCCAGTCAAAGTTGATGCTAGTTTAAGAGTCTTTGGGATTTACCTGGTGGCCAGTCAAAGTTAATACTAGTTAAAGAGTCTTGAGGATTTACCTAACATCCAGTCAAAGTTAATACTAGTTAAGAGTCTTGAGGATTTACCTGACATCCAGTCAAAGTTGATGCTAGTTAAGAGTCTTGAGGATTTACCTGACATCCAGTCAAAATTCATGCTGGTAAAGAGTCTTGGAAGATTTACCTAACATCCAGTCAAAGTTAATTCTAGTAAAAGAGTCTTGAGGATTTACCTGACATCCAGTCAAAATTCATGCTAGTTAAGAGTCTTGGAAGATTTACCGAACATCCAGTCATATTAAATGCTAGTTAAGAGTCTTGGAGATTTACCTAACATCCAGTCATATCAAATGCTAGTTAATAGTCCTGAGGATGAATGTATGTTATTTTATCTTTTTAAGATTAATGATATATTTAATTTATGATAAACGTATGGTGTGTTTATTTCAACTTTGTTTTAATTTAATTTTAATACCTAATACCTTTTGAAATTTATACTAATTACATGTAACATAGAACTGTCCAAATTCATATATAAACGAAGGGACATATATGGGTAGCAGGCTGATACTGAATACTGGTTTTTCTCTTTACCTTTGTGTATTTTTATGTCTGATTTGTTATGTGTTATATATGTGCTCTCAACTACTTTCCCCTGTGTGTTACTCAACAGTTTCAATCTCTTCACATTTACATCTGTTAGTAGAATATATAGAACTTTAATAGAGTGCTCAGCTGAGGTACAATTAAAGTCTAAACATGATGTGTCGATAATAAAGTAAGAAAAGCATCAGTGAACTGTCAGGGCCTGTGTATGAAAAAAAGACTAGATGTGATGAACTATCTTAAATCACATTACACCAACTTTAATATCATTTGTCTTCAAGATACACACTTTACAAGTAAATAAGAAAAAGTTATAGAAACACAGTGGGGGTCTAAATGTTTGTTTAATTTTTTTCAATCAAATGCCCATGGAGTTTGTATTAGGATGAACAATAACTTTGAGTTTGAAATTCATGATAAGAAAAGATGACGGTGTAGGAAATATGCTAGCTGTCGATATAACAATTGAAAAAAGTAGAATTACGCTTGTAAATATCTATGGTCCAAATAATGATAAACCAGATTGCTATGAAAATATAAGAAACACAATTAAAGATTTTACTAATGCAGAATGTATCATATGTGGTGACTATAATCTTGGTCCTAAGTCTACAATAGACACACATAACTACAGAAACATAATAATCCAAGAGCTAGAGATAAAGTTGCAGATCTTATGGAAGAATTTACCCCTGTCGATTGCTTTAGAATAAACCATCCAGATTATAAACGCTTTACATGGAGAAAACGAAATCCTTTAAAACAAGCTAGACTTGACTTTTTCCTTATACAATTGTATCTGATAACCTCATGAATTGAGTAGAACAAACACGCATACAGACAGGATACAGAACAGACCACTTATTGCAATTGATGACCTTAGAATTAAAATACATGATTTTGAAAAAGGCAGTGGATTATGGAAATTTAACAATAGTTTATTGTATGCTAATCAATATGTGGCCAAGGTAAAGCTATTATTAATGACATTAAACAGCAATAGGCATCACCAACACACAATGAAAACCTGTATAATATTTCCGATATAAATCTAGACTTGAAAATAATTGATCAACTCTTTTTAGAAACCTTGCTTATAGAGGTATGGGGACTTTCTGTATACTATACATCATATACAAAAAATACAAATAGATTAGAAAGTAAGCTAAAAGCGGAGATTGATCAAATTGAAAATAGTAATACATTACTAGTAGACACACTTGTTTTAGAACTTGAAAATAAAACAAATGAACTAGAAAATATGAGAAAAGAAAACTTAAAAGGACACATGATCAGATCAAAAGCAAAATGGATAGAGGAGGGAGAACGGATAAGTAATTTTTTCTGCAGTCTAGAATAAAAAACTATATAAATAAAACTATTTACAGAATTGAGAAAAATAATGGTGAACTTATCACAAAACAGAATGAAATAATGGAAGGGATAGAACTGTTTTACAAAGATCTTTATTTAAAGCACTCTGAAAACACTGAAGATATTGAAATTTTAAAGGATTATGATTTCAATATACTTAATGATAGTCAAATGGTAAATATTTAAGGTGATTTGAAAGAAAAAGAATTATTATTTGCACTGAAAACACAAAAAACAATAAATCACCAGGATCATACGATTCACCAGGATCATACAATTCACCAGGATCATACGGCTATACTGCAGATTGTGTTTGTTTGTTGGCAAGATCTAAAACATTTTATTATTAGATCTTTAAATGAAGAATACAAAAATGGGTAGTTATCTATTACACAAAAACAAGGTGTCATAATATGTCTTCCAAAAGGAATATTTAAAGAATTGGAGACCTATTACTCTTCTGAACATAACTTACAAATTAGCATCTGCATGTATTGCAAATAGATTGAAATCAGTTTTAGACTATATAATTTCTAAAACACAAACAGGTGGGAGATACATTGGGGAAAATACAAGGTTAATATATGACATAATGAACTAACCAGAGCAACATAATATTCCTGGACAACTTATTTTTATTATTTACGGACGGACCACGGACGCAGGGGGATTTGAATAGCCCCCACCATCAGATGATGGTGGGCTATTCAAATCACCCTGTGTCCGTGGTCCGCCATCCGTCCTTAAACAATTCTTGTTATTGGTATTTCTCAGGAAGTTCCAGAGGGATCTTTCTCAAATTTTATATGTAGGTTCCCCTTGGTCCTAAGCTGTGCAGTACAACTTTTGAGACTGATCTGATGAACAACATGGCCGACAGGCAGCCATCTTGGATTTTGATAGTGAAAGTTTGTTATTGCTATTTTTCGGAAAGAAGAAGTACCAGAGGGATCTTTCTCAAATTTTATATGTAGGTTCCCCTTGTTCCCTTGTGTAGCAGTGCCTGAAATGGGCGGTCGCCTGCTCGCCAATGGCGGTTAAAGTCTTGCTCGAGCGACCAAAAGTTGTCAAAAGTGAGGTAGTCACTGGCCCAACAAAAATAGTTTGGGCGACTGTCGAAAAATTAATGAATAAAAGAAATAATAGTGCCTTCCACATTAACTCGGGGGCAGTTCATTTTTCAGTTGTCATTACTTCGAGTTGAATTGAACTGTCCGTGATTTAGAAAATGTGATGATTTTTTTTTCAGATTTTCTATTTAAATACTGCCAGAGTGTCTTCTTTGAGGTGCGAGTTTTGTGTATTGTGGATCATGTCAGGTTTTAACTAGGGTTGAAGAATTAAAAATATAATGTTTTATTCTGTTTTACATATTACAAACATTGTCATGTTAAATGTAATTTAAATGTGCTGAAGCATTGTGTTAAATGCTGTCGAAATATTTCTTCACCAAAATTATTTGGGCCACCAATATGTCATTAGGGCCAGTGCTTAAAAAATTTTACTCGCTCAAAAAAAATAATTTGGGCCAGCCAATGCAGGTTCCCCACTATCCTTTATTGTTCATGTTTACTTTTGAAACTGATCAGTTAAACAAAATGGCCTACTGACAGCCATCTTCGATTTTTGACATTGAAGGTTTGTTAGTACTATTTCTCAGGAATAACTTCCTCTTGATCCCTCGTTGTGCATGTTATATTTTGAGACTTATCATAAAAACAAAATGACTAAAGGAAGAACTAAATAGATCTTTCTCATATTGCAATGATCAATTCTATTTCTTTCACATTAAGTACTGTACTAGTAAATATGTGACAAACTCACTTTGAAGGTTGGCTTTCATACACATCAGTTTTAAGTTTAGATCAAAAGTTACCTCAAGGTGCATTTACTGTTAACATGACTCGATCAAACAGATTAGAGGAAAGAAAAGAAAAGATCAAACTGACAAAGAACTAATGAAGATGGTACAATGGTGGGCGCCAAGATCCCTCTTGTTGATTTTGAAAAAGCTTTCGACTCTGTGTCATGGGACTTTCTTACAAAAGTATAAAAATAATTTCAATTTTGGAAATAGTACATGTATAACCCTATCCCCTTTAAGGGCATAAACACAAATAACAAAGAACACAGGCTTTCACAGTTCGCTGATGACACATCTTTATTTTAAATGGCACAAAATCTTCATTCATAGAGGCTATAAACATGTTAGATAAATATGCAAAAATATCAGTGTTAAAAGTAAATACTGAAAAAACAAGTGTTATATGAATAGGTAGCAAACAATTTAGTGCTGATGTATACCATCACAGGTGGAAACTAAAATGGGGAACAACCAAATTTTTCCTTACTTGGGATTGATTTCTCTGTCAATTTAGTGCTGATGTATACCATCACAGGTGGAAACTAAAATGGGGAACAACCAAATTTTTCCTTACTTGGGATTGATTTCTCTGTCAATTTAGTGCTGATGTATACCATCACAGGTGGAAACTAAAATGGGGAACAACCAAATTTTTCCTTACTTGGGATTGATTTCTCTGTCAATTTAGTGCTGATGTATACCATCACAGGTGGAAACTAAAATGGGGAACAACCAAATTTTTCCTTACTTGGGATTGATTTCTCTGTCAATTTAGTGCTGATGTATACCATCACAGGTGGAAACTAAAATGGGGAACAACCAAATTTTTCCTTACTTGGGATTGATTTCTCTGTCAATTTAGTGCTGATGTATACCATCACAGGTGGAAACTAAAATGGGGAACAACCAAATTTTTCCTTACTTGGGATTGATTTCTCTGTCAATTTAGAAGACATGGTTACTCTAAATTTCAACAAAGTTATTAGTATTACAGATGGCAAGTTACATCAATGGTCAAGAAGTATGTTAACACCTATAGGGAGAATAACTGTTCTTAAATCTCTTATCATTGCAAAAATGAATCATCTGTTTATATCTCCCCCTTACTTCCAGTTCTTATTGTGTAGGCCAACATGACAATGAAATATTATCACTAACACAATCTATCAAAATGGTATACTGCTTTATTAATGGGGGAAATCAACAGAAGGCTGAGATAAATCTAAAACAGGGCCCAACTTGTCAGTCACATGTGTCCTAGCTGTTCTCTTATTACATTAAATACAGTAATTTTGAATATCAGATATGTATCTTGGCATGCATGGTTTTCAAATTTCACTAATTATTCTTTTTATTTATTGCAGATGAATTGTTAGCAAAGAAGGCAAAGGAGAGATATGACTCAGCAAAGGTAAATATTCATACCTGGTATAAGGAAAGGGAGGCTACTTTAGGTGTAAGGAAAGGGAGGCTACTTTAGGTTTAAGGAAAGGGAGGCTACTTTAGGTATAAGGAAAGGGAGGATACTTTAGGTATAAGGAAAGGGAGGATACTTTAGGTATAAGGAAAGGGAGGATACTTTAGGTATAAGGAAAGGGAGGCTACTTTAGGTATAAGGAAAGGGAGGCTACTTTAGGTATAAGGAAAGGGAGGCTACTTTAGGTATAAGGAAAGGGAGGATACTTTAGGTATAAGGAAAGGGAGGATACTTTAGGTATAAGGAAAGGGAGGATACTTTAGGTATAAGGAAAGGGAGGCTACTTTAGGTATAAGGAAAGGGAGGCTACTTTAGGTGTAAGGAAAGGGAGGCTACTTTAGGTATAAGGAAAGGGAGGATACTTTAGGTATAAGGAAAGGGAGGATACTTTAGGTATAAGGAAAGGGAGGCTACTTTAGGTATAAGGAAAGGGAGGCTACTTTAGGTGTAAGGAAAGGGAGGCTACTTTAGGTATAAGGAAAGGGAGGCTACTTTAGGTATAAGGAAAGGGAGGATACTTTAGGTGTAAGGAAAGGGAGGCTACTTTAGGTATAAGGAAAGGGAGGCTACTTTAGGTATAAGGAAAGGGAGGCTACTTTAGGTGTAAGGAAAGGGAGGCTACTTTAGGTATAAGGAAAGGGAGGCTACTTTAGGTATAAGGAAAGGGAGGCTACTTTAGGTGTAAGGAAAGGGAGGCTACTTTAGGTGTAAGGAAAGGGAGGCTACTTTAGGTATAAGGAAAGGGAGGCTACTTTAGGTTTAAGGAAAGGGAGGATACTTTAGGTGTAAGGAAAGGGAGGCTTTTTTGAAGTAATTTATTTAACACAGATAACACCTATCCAGTCTCAGACTGTGACACCTATCCAGTCTCAGACTGTGACACCTATCCAGTCTCCGACTGTGACACCTATCCAGTCTCCGACTGTTACACCTATCCAGCCTCAGACTGTAACACCTATCCAGTCTCAGACTGTGACACCTATCCAGTCTCAGACTGTTACACCTATCCAGCCTCAGACTGTTACACCTATCCAGCCTCAGACTGTAACACCTATCCAGTCTCAGACTGTAACACCTATCCAGTCTCAGACTGTGCACAGACACCTATCCAGTCTCAGACTGTAACACCTATCCAGTCTCAGACAGGTGTTATTTGTGGTCCTGTGACCTTTTTACAGATACAAGAGTCAATAACATGTAGTAATGGTTTCCTCTCCTTCTGATTATTTCTGTGTAATAGCTATAGTGTTCAGTTTATCAGTACAGGTCTTGTGACTTTATAATGACTTCCAAAAAATCTTCTATTCAATATATGTCTGAAATACTCTTAAGTAAAAAACAAGATTCCAAAAATGCATAAAAAGATTATCTTTCATAAATTTTTCTGTGTAATAAATTCTAAATTAGACACACCATACATGTGTTATGTATGCTTTTTCTGTCCACAGGGCTCTGGACCTGAGCGACTTGTATCGGGCTCGGATGACTTCACACTGTATCTATGGAAACCCGAGGAGGATAAGAAACCAATTGCACGTATGACTGGTCACCAGCAACTCATCAATGATGTCCAGTTCTCACCGGACACTCGCCTTATTGCCAGCGCATCCTTCGACAAATCTGTAAAATTATGGGATGGCCGGACTGGAAAGTAGGTCAATGTTGCTGCTCCCTTTTCTTTTCTGTCAGACAGTCTAAAGGGGAAGAACTCTCAGTTCCAAACCTATTTCAATAGCCGAAATTTATTTTCACTTTTCTGATTGATTGAGATAAAAAAAAACTTTTCTAATATCCGTCTCATATGTTTGTCAGTAAATTATTGGAAAATCAACTTATAGTTATACAAAATGTATATTTGTTCTTATTCTCAATAATTTATCATGCAGATTTTTTTTACAAAAGAACCTATTTCATCTTAACAGGTTTTTCTTTTTGTTATTCCTTTTTTATGATACAGATACTTTGACAACAGAGTTGGACTATTATAAATATCATTGTTAAACAAACTGTTTCTCAGACTTCTGTCCTTGTCACAGATTCCTGGCGACCTTCCGTGGACATGTCAATCGTGTATATACACTGGGCTGGTCAGCTGACAGTCGACTTATCTGCAGTGGCAGTTCCGATTCCACCATTAAAGTATTTGATGTAAAGACAAGAAAACTACTGTTTGATTTACCGGGACATGCAGACGAGGTAAAGCCTGATTCTTGTATCTCTACTACTTACATATGATCACTAGTACCAAGACTAATACTTTCATCTCTGATATCCAGACTAATTCTTTCATCTCCGATATCCAGACTAATCCTTTCATCTCTGATATCCAGTCTTATACTTTCTTCTCTGATATCCAGACTAACACTTTCTTCTCTGATATCCAGACGAATACTTTCAACTCTAGTCCCCAGCTTCATAGTTACATCTCTAGTACCAAGCCTCATACTTTCATCTTTAGTATCCAGCCTCTTAATTAAATCTCTAGTATTCAGGCTAATAATTACATCTCAAGTATCCAGACTAATAATTTCATCTCTGATATCCAGACTTATACTTTCATCTCTGATATCCAGACTAATACTTTCAACTCTAGTACCCAGCTTCATAGTTACATCTCTAGTACCAAGCCTCATACTTTCATCTTTAGTATCCAGCCTCTTAATTAAATCTCTAGTATTCAGACTAATAATTACATCTCAAGTACCCAGACTAATAATTACATCTCAAGTACCCAGATTAATACTTACATCTCTAGTACCCAGGCTCATACTTACATCTCTAGTACACAGACTCATACTTACATCTCCAGTACCCAGACTGATACTTACATCTCCAGTACCCAGACTAATAATTACATCTCAAGTACCCAGATTAATACTTACATCTCTAGTACCCAGGCTCATACTTACATCTCCAGTACCCAGACTCATACTTACATCTCCAGTACCCAGACTCATACTTACATCTCTAGTACACAGACTCATACTTACATCTCCAGTACCCAGGCTCATACTTACATCTCCAGTACCCAGGCTCATACTTACATCTCTAGTACCCAGCCTCATAATTACATCTCTAGTACCCAGACTAATACTTACATCTCTAGTACCCAGCCTCATAATTACATCTCTAGTACCCATACTAATACTTACACCTCTAGTACCCAGGCTCATACTTACAACTTTAGTACCCATGTTCAGACTTACACCTCCAGTACCCAGCATCATACTTAAATCTGTAGTTCCCAAACTAATACTTACATTTGTAGTACCCAGAATTATATGAACATCACTAGTACTAAGCCTAATATTCACATATGTAATACCCAACCTTAAAAATAAAATATAGAATAAATTCATGGATATTTTCTATGCTCTTTCATATTGTTCACAGAGAAGAAAAATGTACAGGCTTTTCATTCAGGAAAAAGATCTCACATTCTTTTTTTTTGGGGTGGCATACATATTTTGCATTCACATGGCATTGCCACAAATTTTGTAGTCATATAATTATATGTGTCGTAGCATACCGTGTTACCAGTAGTGTTAGGCGAACTGAAAATAGGTACTGTGAAATGATTGACACATACCTACCACTGATACAGGCTTTATATTGCCCATAGACAGATACTTATAACATGCTTATGTCATATTATACTATTACAAGTTGTAACTGTATTATACATAAACATGCATGTGGTATGCACTCTTCCATCAGCTAATCATTTAAAATGTGTGAGAGCAGAGGATTTGAATTACTCTACTAATATAAAGAAAATTCAGTTATTGAAAAACATTCGATGTAAATATTATATAGGCATTGAATTGTTTTTAGTTGGTATAAATAGGAAATGTGAGTGCCTTTTGAATTGCAGACAATTACATCAGGCTTTTTGTTCTCAATAATAAATACCCTGGTACAAATAGTTGTTTGAAGGGAAATAACTCTTGCTGACAATGTTCAAGGGAAGTAACTCTGTTTGCCTTATGTCCAGGTATACTCGATAGACTGGAGTCCAGATGGACAGAGAGTAGCAAGTGGGGGCAAGGACAAAGTGCTCAAAATGTAAGTACTGACTAAATGTAGCTGTATAGTATTTATCAGGCTTCATTTCCTCATTTTTGTGTTTTGCAAATGCTATTTGTTGCAAATAATGTTAAAACAAGATAACTGTAAGCATTTGCAGTCCTGAAAGAACAACAAGACTGATTGTTTCCAGGGGTTCTGCTGATTGACCTTTGATCAAAGGTCAATGGAGAGGTAATTCTGTGTAAGTTGTACTGATGTCAATGTGGAGACATTTGTACATAATGTCAACAAGATCACTGTGTGTATACAGAACTTACTTATGTGGTTTTAGTTTCAGGATTCAACAACAAAGTGTATTGAGTTGTGTTGATTCTAAAATATAATTTGAGAATTTTGTGGCAAAAACATATGTTCCTTTAACTGGTTTTCATTGCTTGTACCTGGAGTAAAGGTAGAATGACATCAGGTATAGGGTTCATACCTGGAGTAAAGGTTAAATGACATTCAGGTCTAGGGTTCATACCTTGAATAAAGGTTGAATGACATCAGGTCTGGGGTTCATACCTAGAGTAAAGGTTGAATGAGATCAGGTCTGGGGTTCATACCTGGAGTAAAGGTTAAATGACATCATGTCTGAGGTTCATACCTGGAGTAAAGGTTGAAAGACATCAGGTCTGAGGTTCATACCTGGAGTAAAGGTTGAATGACATTAGGTATAGGGTTTATACCTGGAGTAAAGGTTGAATGACATCAGGTCTGGGGTTCATACCTTGAGTAAAGGTTAAATTACATCAGGTCTGGGGTTCATACCTGGAGTAAAGGTTGAATGACATCAGGTCTGGGGTTCATACCTGGAGTAAAGGTTAAAAGACATCAGGTCTGGGGTTCATACCTGGAATAAAGGTTAAATGACATCAGGTCTGAGGTCCATACCTGGAGTAAAGGTTAAATGACATCAGGTATAGGGTTCATACCTGGAGTAAAGGTTGAATGACATCAGGTCTGAGGTTCATACCTGGAGTAAAGGTTGAATGACATCAGGTCTGGGGTTCATACCTGGAGTAAAGGTTAAATGACATCAGGTATAGGGTTCATACCTGGAATAAAGGTTAAATGACATCAGGTCTGGGGTTCATACCTGGAGTAAAGGTTGAATGACATCAGGTCTGTGGTTCATACCTGGAGAAAAGGTTAAATTACAACAGGTCTGGGGTTTATACCTGGAGTAAAGGTTAAATGACATCAGGTATAGGGTTCATACCTGGAGTAAAGGTTTAATGAAATCAGGTATAGGGTTCATACCTGGAGTACAAGTTAAATTACAACAGGTCTGGGGTTTATACCTGGAGAAAAGGTTAAATGAAATCAGGTCTGGGGTTCATACCTGGAGTAAAGGTTTAATGGCATCCTGTCTGTTTGGGTTTTGTACCTTGAGTAAAGGTTGAATGACATCAGGTCTTGAGTTTGTACATGGAGTAAAGGTTTACTGACATTAGGTTGGGTTTGTACCTGGAGAAAAGGTTTAATGACATCAGGTCTTGGGTTTGTACCTCGAGAAAAGGTTTAATGACATTCAGGTCTGGGGTTCATACCTTGAATAAAGGTTAAATGACATCAGGTATAGGGTTCATACCTGGAGTTAAGGTTGAATGACATCAGGTCTGTGGTTCATACCTGGAGTAAAGGTTAAATGACATCAGGTCTGTGGTTCATACCTAGAGTAAAGGTTGAATGAGATCAGGTCTGGGGTTCATACCTGGAGTAAAGGTTAAATGACATCATGTCTGAGGTTCATACCTGGAGTAAAGGTTGAATGACATCAGGTCTGGGGTTTGTACTTGAGGTAAACTTTCTTCAAATGTGAGTGAAGTGATTTCCTTTGTGAGTAAATTTTTCAATCTTCTAATGTAAATCAATTTTGTTAGGAATCTTCCCGTGTCGAAAGAGTTGTAAATTGTTCATTGACTTGTTTTAGGTACCTATCCTTAAGAATCTTGACCAGCCGGGAACCAAACGGCTCCTTGTTGCATTATATGTATAAGGTCATTGTTTGAATTATCAGAGATAACTGTCCGGTGTGTAAATATATCTATATATCTATCTTTAATGTGATATTTTAAAGCCTCTAGACCAATGCCCTACCTGATCACACAGCCAGTGTTTATACAACCTTTCTGTACTACGTGAGTTTCTAAGTAGGTACTTGTTTGACCTATGATAACTGGGACTGCCCCAGAGTATTATTGGATGAGATGCATTCATCAGGATTAAGAATGGAACCTGAGGTTTAGGGTTAAGATCAAATTTGTTGATACAATCAAACTTTTTTTTAAAGGTCACCTGTTTATAACAACCATCATAAGGATATCACAAATGACAGTTTCTGTACATAACAGCCTGTCTATAAAGACTACCTGTCTATAAAGACCACCTGTATATAAGGACCACCTGTATATAACAACCAGTGTACGGATACTGTATATGATAGGTACTGTACATAAAAGATTTATTATAAACACCATCTGTCTCTCACTGTACGATTGTCTGTCTGTACAAGTTAAAATGTCATATGGACACTGAGTTCATAGTAAATTAGTACTATATAAAGTGCACAACTGATGCACAACTGTTTCGTTCCAGCCATCATGATATACAGTGAAACACAGTGAAACACAGTTATACTGAATCTTTAGGGATTCGACTAACCAGTTCAATATAAAAGTATATACGTAGTTCATAATACGTGTAAAGCAAATTTTTAATATGATTTTTAAAAACAGTGGGATATGCAAATATGTATAAAACAATGGTTACACTAATCACCGACTATCATGATATATATGCATACGTTAAATTTTATTCTAAAATCTTAATTCATTTGGTAGGCCTTGAAATCTAACATAATGCCTCTTTCTTTTACAAATTGTCTTAAAATGTTTTTACCACTATCCTTCCTAATTCCGACACCTGTTTTCAATGTTAGTAATATAAATGAAAAAGTTTTACATCAGTTCCATGTTAGTTTTTCAAGTTTAAATAAACTTGGTCAAGGGTCTTACAAAACAACTTGTAGAGCTTGTATACCCCTAATCAGACCTGGACACAGTATCACAGCGACGTACTGTAACATTAACAGAAGCTATCCATGTCTTGTTTATCTGTATGACATAGACAGGCAATAACAAATCGGAGACATATTGACGGAGTACTTCACTCACATAGGTTCGGGAATATTGAAGGGTTTCGTATTAGGATTGATTATGTGTGTAAGAAGCTGTTTGACATTAGTTAGGATCCAACAGAACCTGTACTAGGCCAGTTGTTGAGTTGTTTGTGTCGGGACGAGTACCCTTACCAGCCTAGGACCAGCACTTGTTGTCTGATCAGAAGCCAGTGTAGTTACCGTATATGTGTGATGTGTGGGTATAATCACCCTCCTCAGGTACACACGATAAAATAGGTCTGTATCCACCGCCACTTGACACTCTTTATCCACGGCTACTTGACACAAATCAATAGCTATATATCTGTGTCACATCAGTTGTTTATAGATTCGGAAATCTTTACAATTTATTTGTTTACGGTATAAGAAATCAGTTATTGTTTGATAGGGCTGCCCAATGTATGTCCATATTTGTAGATATCACTTCTGAGTAAAGACTTGGTCAGGTCAAAAAGGTCAAGGTATCACCACTAAGTAAAGGCTTGGTCAGGTCAAAAAGGTCAAGGTATCAC